GGTCTGTAATAGGACAGTAAAGAATGGGTCATCAATTCACTCTCCTAGCTGCATAGCAATTGATAAAATTGGTCTACATCGATTAGTTTCTACTAGATTAGAAGATACTAAGGAATCCCTGAGTTGGGTAGCACTCAGAGCTGCTGATCTAGGCGATACTATGGATGTGCATGTTAAAGCAAAAGACAGATCAAAGGGTGTCTAAATACAGAACATGGTGCTCACCTCCAGAAAAAGCTCCAGGAGATGTAGATAGTAAGTCTGTCCTCGGCAGTACTTCTTTAATAGACGATATATGGATGCCTCCAAGAGAAAGGAATCATTGACTGCGTCCAATCCAATGCCATCCTGAAGAAAGAGAGGAACATAAAGAGCCTGCCCAAATATCCTCATTGTGCACTTTATACCTTGATCCACCCCATCTTGTGCTGTCCCATAACCCAGCCTAATGAAACCATGAAAGCTCTGGCGTTATTCTAACTGCTTAAATTCTTTATAAAGAGGATTTCATTGCGGGTTTACCTTCTTGTACCAGCAGGGCTGCCCCCGGCGAGTCACTGAGTTATCCATGATGTCATCCGCTACCAGGAAAAAGGCTTGGAGCTATATTGGGTACAAAGACATAAGGTGGTTAGACCGTAATAATTTTACCTATAGCAAGAATGCCACAATAATCAATTATGTGCACATTTTCTATCATTACCAGTTCAACACACCAGCCTACGGTCAGTGCTCTCTGCAAATTCCCATCTTTCTGAAGGTCTGGTCCAACAAGTTCCCTATAAGCTGCCAGAACAGTCATCCCTCGATTACACTTGCCTCCAGGGGTGTTGTACTCCAGTATCTGAAAAGATAGACTGATATTAACTCCGGGAAAGTAATTAATTAATATGAAGTACTAAGACAGAAATTACTCTTCTGACCTCCTTCAAGCGTGTAATTGCATCTCCGATCTCTGGGTGCTGGCTGTCATTAGCAATCAGATCCTTAACAACCTGTTCAAAGTAACTGGAAAATTCTTGCAATTCAGAGTTTTTGGAAGCACCTACAGAAGCCATGGTCCAGACCTGGAGGAGGAGAAAAACCAATAAAATAACAGGTCTCCCTGGCTTTGATAGGGTAACAGACTTAAGTGTAAAACAGATATGAGAACTGGCAGAACCTCTGAGAAACTCAATAGCTTGCCCTTCATTTAATCCACGCTCAGGTCTAAAAATATTTTTTGCTCACTTATGCAAATGTTAGACTCTCTCCGTAATGGCAAGTCAGACTGATGTCACCCACAAGGGCAGTCCAGATCTGAAATGCCATCAAGTTCCCTCTGCACAAGAGATACAGCAAACCTGGTTGATCTTTGGGGCTTGTCAGTGAGGTGTAGCGGATACCCCGCTAAACACATTGAGGATTACCCTTTTAACTTGGTGTTAAGTGTGCTGTTACAGAGTAGGTGTAAATAATGTGCTTGTTAACTGGCAATATAGTATGCAGCTTATTTTTTATGATTGGTATTTATATAGTGCCAACTAATTCAGCAGCCGCACTCACCTAGATGCTGATAGTCCTAACCTCAACATCTGAGGAAAGTGATTCAGGGGTGATTATTTCTGATGACTTAAAGGACCACTCTAGGCACTCAGACCACTTCAGCTTAATGAAGTGGTCTGGGTGCCAGGTCCTTCTAGGGTTAACTCATTTTTTCATAATTATAGCAGTTTCAGAGAAACTGCTATAATTATGAATGGGTTAAGCCTTCCCCCTAATCCTCTAGTGGCTGTCTCATTGACAGCTACTAGAGGCGCTTGCGTGCTTCTCACTGTGAAAATCACAGTGAGAGCACGCCAGCGTCCATAGGAAAGCATTGTAAATGCTTTCCTATGAGACCGGCTGAATGCGCGCGCAGCTCTTGCCGCGCGTGCGCATTCAGCCGGCGGGGCGTAACGGAGGCGGAGAGGAGGAGGAGAGCTCTCCGCCTAGCGCTGGAAAAAGGTAAGTTTTTACCCCTTTCCCCCTTCCAGAGCCGGGCGGGAGGGGGTCCCTGAGGGTGGGGGCACCCTCAGGGAACTATAGTGCCAGGAAAACGAGTATGTTTTCCTGGCACTATAGTGGTCCTTTAAAGGTAGGCAGACAATGTAATAGAGCAGCAGGAAATGCTAGCAGAATGCTTGGTTGTATAGGGAGAGGTATTGGCAGTAGAAAGAGGGAAGTGCTCATGCCATTGTACAGAACACTGGTGAGACCTCACTTGGAGTATTGTACAGTACTGGAGACCGTATCTTCAGAAGGATATTGATACCTTAGAGAGGGTTCAGAGAAGGGCTACTAAACTGGTTCATGGATTGCGGGATAAAACTTACCAGGAAAGGTTAAAGGATCTTAACATGTATAGCTTGGAGGAAAGACGAGACATGAGGGATATGATAGAAACTTTTAAATACATAAAGGGAATTAACACCGTAAAGGAGGAGACTATATTTAAAAGAAGAAAAACTACCACAAAAAGAGGACATAGTCTTAAATTAGAGGGGCAAAGGTTTAAAAATATTATCAGGAAGTATTACTTTACTGAGAGGGTAGTGGATGCATGGAATAGCCTTCCAGCTGAAGTGGTAGAGGTTAACACAGTAAAGGAGTGTAAGCATGTGTGGGATAGGCATAAAGCTATCCTAACTATAAGATAAGGCCAGGGACTAATGAAAACATTTAGAAAATTGGGCAGACTAGATGGGCCAAAAGGTTCTTATCCGCTGTCATATTCTAGGTTTCTAGTAAAGATGTGTAGCTGCTTTTTAATAACTACAAGCAGACAAAATAGAATGTGTGTATGAAAATCTATCATTTTATACTTGTTATGCTCTTCCCAACTAAATGTTATGGCAGCATGGGCATAACTCCTCCCACTTCCAAAATGGACATGAATACTTCCTAATTAAAACATGCTCTAGGCACTAGATACTTTACATTGAGGTGTTTTTGGTTCCTGGAGTCCTAAGTGCCATTCAATTTAGTATTTGAAATGCTTTAAGATAAAGCTGCAGCCCTGCCCTTCTCAGCTTCCTCATTAGTCAGCTGAGCACTCTCCGCCTGTCACTGCTCCCCATCACTGGTAAAGCTAATTAACTTGGCTAGACATCCAGGGGGTAGGACGACCAGACATTTGGAAACTCACTCCAAGTTAAACAGCAGACGACTCCAGGCACCATAATCACTTGATTGAAAACATTATGGTGTCCAGAGTGTCCCTTTAAGAATATTAGAGGGAACTCCCAGCACCCATGTCCTCCTTGTGTCATCAATGCCAAATTCCCAAACAGGAAAGTGTGGGATCATAGTGCTGCCAAAGCATATAGCCAGGAAAATAAAATAACAGAATAATAAGCAGGTATTAATTTTCTGTTTTGAGCACCCAACAAAGTTGTCAAGCTATTATAAAACCATTTGACCGATTGTGGTGGGTCTGGTGCTTTTAGTGTTTGTTGCATTGTACTGCAGAGAACTTGTTTTGAGGAGTGCCATTGCTTTAAAGTGGGTCTCTCTTTTTTGGGGGAGGGGGGGGGAAGAGAGGTCTTTACAGATTTTGCAAAGACCTCCGAAGGGGACATATATGGTTAGGGTTTGGAGGCCGTAGGGTGCAATATGCAAGTTTACTTATCTGAAACTATCCCTCGCCATCCTTTTCGGCTCCTGACATTAAATCTGCCAGGAGCTGTGTCAGTGCTGTACTTTCACATACGCAAGAGTACAACACAGAGGTGTATGCAAGATCTTGCACGAGACTATGTCTGTATCCCAGTCATCACTTGAGGCAGCTGCTGAGATTGGGCAAAAGTTGTCCCTACTTTGTCTTGTGTTTTTTTTTGTTTGTGTTGTGTTTTAATTTCAATGAAATTCCAATGCAGTCAGCAAGAGTATAGAATAGTACATTATATCTAAACTAAAAACTGAGAAATAACAGAGCTGCTTTGAGTATCATGGTTTGGACTCTGTCCATCTGATGTAAATGGAGTGTGAGCAGAACAAAGGCACTGCCTGTCTGCGTTTTATAAAAAAAAAAAAAAAAAGGTATAGTTAAGGCAGCCCCTTCTTGCATCGTATAAATGGAACAGTCTGGGCTGGTATCAAGGTATAATTGCACAGGCTGCTATTGCGGTATAATGGCGCGAGCTGGGCTGCTATCGTGGTATTATGGTGCCAGCTGAACTGGTATCACAGTGTAATGGTGCGTGCTAGACTGGTATCGCGGTATAATGGTGCGTGCTGGGCTGCTATCGCAGTATAATGGTGCGTGCTGGGCTGGTGTTGCGGTATAATGGTGCGTGCTGGGCTGGTGTCGCGGTATAATGGTGCGTGCTGGGCTGGTATCGCGGTATAATGGTGCGTGCTGGGCTGCTGTCGCGGTATAATGGTGCGTGCTGGGCTGCTATCGCGGTATAATGGTGCGTGCTGGGCTGGTGTCGCGGTATAATGGTGCGTGCTGGGCTGGTGTCGCGGTATAATGGTGCGTGCTGGGCTGCTGTCGCGGTATAATGGTGCGTGCTGGGCTAGTGTCGCGGTATAATGGTGCGTGCTGGGCTGGTGTCGCGGTATAATGGTGCGTGCTGGGCTGGTGTCGCGGTATAATGGTGCGTGCTGGGCTGCTATCGCGGTATAATGGTGCGTGCTGGGCTGGTGTCGCGGTATAATGGTGCGTGCTGGGCTGGTGTCGCGGTATAATGGTGCGTGCTGGGCTGGTATCGCGGTATAATGGTGCGTGCTGGGCTGGTATCGCGGTATAATGGTGCGTGCTGGGCTGGTGTCGCGGTATAATGGTGCGTGCTGGGCTGCTGTCGCGGTATAATGGTGCGTGCTGGGCTGGTATCGCAGTGTAAATTGCACATAATACAGATTCATAAACAGCACAATCATAAATATAAATCTCTGAACTCTATAATGGTACTTAAAATCTCCTCTCAGCCCTCCACTGTGTCACATCACCCTATTGGTGGGTCTTACACTAATTCCAACGTGGCGATACATGGTGCTAGCACTCACTGTCTCCATTACAGATTTTATAAAATGTGTGTATTTATGATAGCGCGGTTCCTTGGTCTGTATTATGTATACATTTCGGTCACTATGGCGACATATTCCGGGTGTTCCCCCAATTCCCATGTGTTATTATGGGGTAAGTTTGGAATTCAGGCCAGATCCCATGTGGGGTTAATGCCCCTCCCCCCAGCTTGGTATTGGAATGTAATGTCACTATAGATAGAACATGCTCAATGTGCCCCCAGGCTGCTATCAGCACCATGCAACTCTCAGCCCGGAAGTGTTACCCGGCGCCCCGGAAGTAGTCCGTTACAGTACCCGGAAGTGGTCAGTTGGCCCCCTGAGCGGAGCTCGCACACCCGGCAGGGGGCGGAGCCGGGGCCCCGCGGCTCTCAGCAACCGAACCCACATCGTACGTTAACCCGGGAGGGACGTTGAGGGGCGGGGCCAGGCCACCTAGTTAGTATCTCTCCCCCCCCTCAACGTCACTGCTGCTATGGCAACGGCGAGCGTCTACCGGGAGGGGGCGGGGTTAGACAGCTGGCACGGGCTGTGTGTCAATAACGGAGAACATGGCGGCCCGAGTACACCCAATACACCGAGCGGGAACCGGGAACACTGACACTAATACTGTGTGTATGGAGAGAGGGAGAGACAGTACACATAGTCTGTAACATGGATACACAGTGTATAGTGCGCGCTGACACTAATACTGTGTGTATGGAGAGAGAGGGAGAGACTGTACACATAGTCTGTAACATGGATACACAGTGTATAGTGCGCACTGACACTAATACTGTGTGTATGGAGAGAGAGAGGGAGAGACAGTACACATAGTCTGTAACATGGATACACAGTGTATAGTGCGCACTGACACTAATACTGTGTGTATGGAGAGAGGGAGAGACTGTACACATAGTATGTAATATGGATACACAGTGTATAGTGCGCACTGACACTAATACTGTGTGTATGGAGAGAGGGGGAGAGACTGTACACATAGTATGTAACATGGATACACAGTGTATAGTGCGCACTGACACTAATACTGTGTGTATGGAGAGAGAGGGAGAGACAGTACACATAGTATGTAACATGGATACACAGTGTATAGTGCGCACTGACACTAATACTGTGTGTATGGAGAGAGAGGGAGAGACTGTACACATAGTATGTAACATGGATACACAGTGTATAGTGCGCACTGACACTAATACTGTGTGTATGGAGAGAGAGGGAGAGACTGTACACATATTATGTAACATGGATACACAGTGTATAGTGCGCACTGACACTAATACTGTGTGTATGGAGAGAGAGGGAGAGACTGTACACATAGTATGTAACATGGATACACAGTGTATAGTGCGCACTGACACTAATACTGTGTGTATGGAGAGAGAGGGAGAGACGGTACACATAGTATGTAACATGGATACACAGTGTATAGTGCGCACTGACACTAATACTGTGTGTATGGAGAGAGAGGGAGAGACAGTACACATAGTATGTAACATGGATACACAGTGTATAGTGCGCACTGACACTAATACTGTGTGTATGGAGAGAGAGAGGGAGAGACTGTACACATAGTCTGTAACATGGATACACAGTGTATAGTGCGCACTGACACTAATACTGTGTGTATGGAGAGAGAGGGAGAGACTGTACACATAGTATGTAACATGGATACACAGTGTATAGTGCGCACTGACACTAATACTGTGTGTATGGAGAGAGAGGGAGAGACAGTACACATAGTCTGTAACATGGATACACAGTGTATAGTGCGCACTGACACTAATACTGTGTGTATGGAGAGAGAGGGAGAGACTGTACACATAGTCTGTAACATGGATACACAGTGTATAGTGCGCACTGACACTAATACTGTGTGTATGGAGAGAGAGGGAGAGACAGTACACATAGTATGTAACATGGATACACAGTGTATAGTGCGCACTGACACTAATACTGTGTGTATGGGAGAGAGGGAGAGACAGTACACATAGTATGTAATATGGATACACAGTGTATAGTGCGCACTGACACTAATACTGTGTGTATGGAGAGAGAGGGAGAGACTGTACACATAGTCTGTAACATGGATACACAGTGTATAGTGCGCACTGACACTAATACTGTGTGTATGGAGAGAGAGGGAGAGACTGTACACATAGTCTGTAACATGGATACACAGTGTATAGTGCGCACTGACACTAATACTGTGTGTATGGAGAGAGAGAGAGACTGTACACATAGTATGTAACATGGATACACAGTGTATAGTGCGCACTGACACGAATACTGTGTGTATGGAGAGAGAGGGAGAGACAGTACACATAGTCTGTAACATGGATACACAGTGTATAGTGCGCACTGACACTAATACTGTGTGTATGGAGAGAGAGAGGGAGAGACTGTACACATAGTCTGTAACATGGATACACAGTGTATAGTGCGCACTGACACTAATACTGTGTGTATGGAGAGAGAGGGAGAGACAGTACACATAGTATGTAACATGGATACACAGTGTATAGTGCGCACTGACACTAATACTGTGTGTATGGAGAGAGAGGGAGAGACTGTACACATAGTATGTAATATGGATACACAGTGTATAGTGCGCACTGACACTAATACTGTGTGTATGGAGAGAGAGGGAGAGACTGTACACATAGTATGTAATATGGATACACAGTGTATAATGGCACTGACACTAATACTGTGTGTATATGGAGAGAGAGAGGGAGAGACAGTACACATAGTATAGCAACATGAATACACAGTGTATAGATGCTTGCTTTGACACTATGCACTGTATTGTATGGAGAGAGAGGGAGAGACAGTACACATAGTATGTAACATGGATACACAGTGTATAGTGCGCACTGACACTAATACTGTGTGTATGGAGAGAGAGAGGGAGAGACTGTACACATAGTCTGTAACATGGATACACAGTGTATAGTGCGCACTGACACTAATACTGTGTGTATGGAGAGAGAGGGAGAGACTGTACACATAGTATGTAACATGGATACACAGTGTATAGAGCGCACTGACACTAATACTGTGTGTATGGAGAGAGAGGGAGAGACTGTACACATAGTATGTAACATGGATACACAGTGTATAGTGCGCACTGACACTAATACTGTGTGTATGGAGAGAGAGGGAGAGACTGTACACATAGTATGTAACATGGATACACAGTGTATAGTGCGCACTGACACTAATTCTGTGTGTATGGAGAGAGAGAGGGAGAGACTGTACACATAGTATGTAATATGGATACACAGTGTATAGTGCGCACTGACACTAATACTGTGTGTATGGAGGAGAGAGGAGAACTGTACACATAGTATGTAACACATGTGGATACACAGTGTATAGTGCGCACTGACTTACTAATACTGTGTGTATGGAGAGAGAGAGAGGAGAAGCTGTACATAGTATGTAACATGGATACACAGTGTATAGTAGCACTTGACACTAATACTGTGTGTATGGAGAGAGAGGAGAGACTGTACATAGTCACCTTAACATGGATACCGCAGTGTATGAGTGGCACTGACACTAATACACAATATGGAGAGAGAGGGAGAACTGTACACATAGTATGTAACATGGATACACAGTGTATAGTGCTTTTGACACACTAATACTGTGTGTATGGAGAGAGGAGAAGACTGTACACATAGTATGTAACATGGATACACAGTGTATAGTCTTTTGAAACACTAATACTGTGTGTATGGAGAGAGAGGGAGAGACTGTACACATAGTATGTAATATGGATACACAGTGTATAGTGCGCACTGACACTAATACTGTGTGTATGGAGAGAGAGGGAGAGACTGTACACATAGTATGTAATATGGATACACAGTGTATAGTGCGCACTGACACTAATTCTGTGTGTATGGAGAGAGAGGGAGAGACTGTACACATAGTATGTAACATGGATACACAGTGTATAGTGCGCACTGACACTAATACTGTGTGTATGGAGAGAGAGGGAGAGACTGTACACATAGTCTGTAATATGGATACACAGTGTATAGTGCGCACTGACACTAATACTGTGTGTATGGAGAGAGAGGGAGAGACTGTACACATAGTATGTAATATGGATACACAGTGTATAGTGCGCACTGACACTAATACTGTGTGTATGGAGAGAGAGAGGGAGAGACAGTACACATAGTATGTAACATGGATACACAGTGTATAGTGCGCACTGACACTAATACTGTGTGTATGGAGAGAGAGGGAGAGACAGTACACATAGTCTGTAATATGGATACACAGTGTATAGTGCGCACTGACACTAATACTGTGTGTATGGAGAGAGAGGGAGAGACTGTACACATAGTCTGTAATATGGATACACAGTGTATAGTGCGCACTGACACTAATACTGTGTGTATGGAGAGAGAGGGAGAGACTGTACACATAGTATGTAACATGGATACACAGTGTATAGTGCGCACTGACACTAATACTGTGTGTATGGAGAGAGAGGGAGAGACAGTACACATAGTCTGTAACATGGATACACAGTGTATAGTGCGCACTGACACTAATACTGTGTGTATGGAGAGAGAGGGAGAGACAGTACACATAGTATGTAACATGGATACACAGTGTATAGTGCGCACTGACACTAATACTGTGTGTATGGAGAGAGAGAGGGAGAGACTGTACACATAGTCTGTAACATGGATACACAGTGTATAGTGCGCACTGACACTAATACTGTGTGTATGGAGAGAGAGGGAGAGACTGTACACATAGTCTGTAATATGGATACACAGTGTATAGTGCGCACTGACACTAATACTGTGTGTATGGAGAGAGAGGGAGAGACTGTACACATAGTATGTAACATGGATACACAGTGTATAGTGCGCACTGACACTAATTCTGTGTGTATGGAGAGAGAGAGGGAGAGACTGTACACATAGTATGTAATATGGATACACAGTGTATAGTGCGCACTGACACTAATACTGTGTGTATGGAGAGAGAGGGAGAGACAGTACACATAGTATGTAACATGGATACACAGTGTATAGTGCGCACTGACACTAATACTGTGTGTATGGAGAGAGAGAGGGAGAGACTGTACATATAGTA